TAAGTCGGTTCGTACTGCAGCTTGGAATTCATCGCAGTATTTGTTTAACATATACGTTTCCTTCTTTGGTCCATCGTCTCAATGTGGCTTATATTAGACATCGGCTGGTATGCTCGTGTTTTCTTCACTTGATATGTATGCGTGTGTGTCATACATGAATATTCATTAAAAAAATTTTTTTTTCGTCCACTGAAGCATTTGTAGTTCTCCCAAAATGGCTCTAATGCTTCACAACTTTCCTCACAAAAAAATGGACAGCACCCTGGAGTCAGAGAAAAGCTGATGAATAATAAATGTAGTTTGTAAAGTTTAGCCCAAATTTATGGGCAGATAATAAGTTATGTGGTGTAAGACTTTGTAGGGCCCTAATACTTTTCTAATTTATAGGTATTTTTAATTTCTTACACTTTCTTATTTTAAGTGTTGTTGTTGTTTGTTATTAAGCACAAAGCTACATGTTAGACTATCTTGTGCTCTGCCTACCACGAGTATCGAAACCCGGTTTCTAGCAGTATGAGTCACAGACTTACCGCTGTGCCACTGGGGCGGGGAGGCATATTTTAAGTGTCTGTTGGTTATTTTATTTTGGAACTACTGTCATGTTTTATGTCATATTTTATTCAAGCGCGTTTCTACATTAAAAAAGGAAAAAAAGTTCGTTTAAGTCCATTAAATGAAACAGTAGCGTAATGCTGTTAAATAGAGGAATATAGAAATCACGGAGAGAAAGACATCGACGCCTAAAATATCCAACAGAATAAATTAAAATAGCATGATTCATGGTCATGTCTGTTTCCAACAACATCACTATGATTCGTGGCACGAGCAATATTATTAGAAAAGAAATAAAGTAAACTTGAGGATCACACTTCGTGAACTTGCCATTTACTGATTTCAATAATATATTAAGCCTCGTGTTTAATAGATTCATTAAGTGACATCTTCTCTCTGATAGCGTAAAAAAATTTACCTTTTGTAGCACGCATTTTGATAGACATATAGATAGATGGATGGATGAATATAAAATTTGATCCAATTTTATTGTCGTGCACCTGTATCAGTAAAAATAAAAACAACGAACAGCTGTGAGGTAGTCCAATTCCAGTTGAGCAGTAAATATGTGGGCTTTGAATTAAAAAGTTCTTAACTGTTATGTTACTGTACATGAAAGCTATATAAAGTGTATTCTGATAGGAAACCTTTTAAAATACAAGACCTACCAAACAAACCTGGGAGAATTGTTGCGATTTCTAAAAAGCAAATATACAAAAATGTAAGTTCTTTTTTTTATTGAAAAGCCAAAAAATTCAATTTCTTAAAATCAGGAGGGGGGAGAATTCGGATATGAATTTTAATTTAATAATATTTATCTTTTTACTGTTTTAATAAAGTTTATTTTAAGTGAATGATTATATTATCTTTAATTATGGATTTACATTTATTTATATCAATATTGCTATAAAATGTAAAATTCGAAAGTAAAAATTAAAGTTTTTATGAATAGTTTTAACACGTGAGCTTATGAAAAATAAACTTATCACTTGCGTATTAACTGTGGTTGTTTCAGAATAATGAAATATATAACCTTTTATTAGATTTGAAAATGAAACACTGCATTACAAATTCCATGAAATATTTAAGTCTAAAATTTATTTGCATATCTCAGTTTCATAACCTATAAAAAAATGGGGTTTATTTTTTGTACTTTTAGACAGTCAAAAAGAACTTATAAAGTAAAATATGCGACAACCGAGACATAAGCTCCTGCTTCTTCTGCTATTGACTTGCATTATGCTTGTTCTATTGAAGTTTGCAGTATTTATAAAGAAAGGAACATCTTCTGCATCTTATCAGGTATAGGTATTTACACTAATGTCAGAAGTTTTCTCGTTGTTTTTTTTATAGATTTCCTTTTTATTTTATTAACGTGTTTTACTTTTGAGAAAAATGTTTCCTTTTTAATGATCACTTTACTTCCGAGACTTAAAGCTAGTTCTTGTTTTTTAACATTTTGCGTGTGTCAACTGAAAATCTTTTATTTTTATAAAATGTCTATTTGTTTTTAAACAATGTATTAAGAGAGAAAGTGGGAAACACAATAAAATATACTACTCAGCAGACGTCTCTAACAGTTAGGGTTATGATGTTCTCCGGTGCACAGACTTTCAGCAGAGTAAACGTGAAGAATCCGCTAAACAGGGGGTCCTATGAATACTGATTTGTAAAACATGGCTTTCTCTCTCTATAAACTCTGACTGAGTTCATCGACAAGGAAAAGGTGAGCACACAAAATATGCCAAACAATAATATATTTCAAACCAAGTACAATACCATACCAAAACAAGGGTAAGTGTTTGTAATGGGGATTTGGAACAGGTAAAAGAGAGAATACTCTTTCAAAAGTTTAATGTGAGCCCCTCCCACGAACAACCGTACATAATCTTAACAATTCTCTCAAGAAGTCGGAGTATAACATGTCTTAAATATGAATCTATATCTAGATAACTGTACAAAATTTGCCTAACAATAATATATTTTAACCAAGTACAATACCATACCAAAACAAGGGTAAGTGTTTGTAATGGGGATTTGGAACAGGTAAAAGAGAGAATACTCTTTCAACAGTTTAATGTGAGCCCCTCCCACGAACAACCGTACACAATCTTAACAATTCTCTCAAGAAGTCGGAGTATAACATGTCTTAAATATGAATCTATATCTGGATAACTGTACAAAATCTGCCTAACAAGAGGAGAGCCTAAATTTAGAGCCGAAACACAATACAAACAAATCTAGGCTGCTCACTACATGCACCTCGCCCATGTGACATTAACTTCTCTCACTCTAACACAGGGGCGAGGAAGCCCTCGGGCATTACACGATTTGCCAACATCAACAACAAAAAGAACAGCTGTTTAGTTAAGGACATTATGAGTAAAGTCCTGGTGAAGAAAACATGCTTCATGACCAATTAGTCAATATAGTTCCGTGTGTAGCTAAAAGTAAGGAGACGTCATGTTGCTTACCTGAGTTACTTTCATCAACTAAATCAGAATGTACAAAAAAAATTAAATATGAAGTAAAAGGGAGAAGCAAACATACGGTACCAAATGTCTTCTCCTCATTTATTTTCTTGGCTACCCGCTTTTCCCATTTCTAAAATATCAACACAAAAAACGCAAAGTTCAATTGCGCTTTGCTCAAGAAAGCAAACGAACTCATCATTGTTCCAGTGAAATACATGCCCAACGATACAACGATATATCTAAGTAAAAACAACTTTACAATAAAACAAAACACTTTATGAAAGGTCGCCAATCCCCTTAAGATGAGGATAGTTAACGTTAACGCAAAACAAAACAACAATGCCCTTAAGTTGAGGATAGTTAACGTTAACACAAAACAAAACAACAATGCCCTTAAGATGAGGATAGTTAACGTTAACACAAAACAAAACAACAATGCCCTTAAGATGAGGATAGTTAACGTTAACGCAAAACAAAACAACAATGCCCTTAAGTTGAGGATAGTTAACGTTAACACAAAACAAAACAACAATCCCCTTAAGTTGAGGATAGTTAACGTTAACACAAAACAAAACAACAATCCCCTTAAGTTGAGGATAGTTAACGTTAACGCAAAACAAAACAACAATGCCCTTAAGTTGAGGATAGTTAACGTTAACACAAAACAAAACAACAATGCCCTTAAGATGAGGATAGTTAACGTTAACACAAAACAAAACAACAATGCCCTTTAAGAACGAAACATGTCGAAATACTCTTTAACAATCATGCAATTACAACTACACAATAATGATAAAAACTTTAAGAATGCACCACACTAACAGTGATCAATGCATAGTGCAATACATAAGAAAACGGCAAGAAAACACTTCAGAACATAGATGATGCATAACACAAAAACGAAAAAAAATTTTACCGTGAAAATACTACAAAATAAACTCCTTATCGTAGCTGAACATAAAATGATACGATACAGAGTTAATTCCTGTTAGATTACACACTTTAAGATAATCATATTCAAACGAAACATTGAACCAAATCTCTTTGTAAAATCAGTTCAAATCAGTCCAAATAACTCATACACACACACACACACACATATATATATACAACAGCATAAAGTAAAGCTCTCTACAATAAATAACAAAACTAATCATAATGAAAGATACATATACACATGTACAGAGAACATTATAAAAACTTCACATATACACAATACAACCTTTCAATCACGTGTATAAAACCAAAGCAAGAAACAAAACTTTATAGATATGGATAATACATAACATGGAAATATTTTAAAAGAATGAGAACGAAACGAAAACAAATTCCTTATTTCCATGCAAGTATTAGATAGGTCTGTTCAATAACAGCAGTATTGAAGGACATTTTAGAGAAATCTGAACTTGAAAACTCGACTGAGTTTTAAGCTGCGTCAGAAATAAAGAGACTGGATACGTTTGGAAAAATGTGAAAATAATCTATTTTTACGACACTACAAAAATACAGTGTGTGTGTGTTTGCAGAGACAAAGGGATGGTTGCATCTACTGGATCACTGAATGTATCGGCAGTTTTTGTTTCCTCAAGATAGATCTTTATGGGACTAGAGAATTTGGATATAACATAGGTATTGTCCGAGTGTATCATACTATATATATATATATTTTTGAAACACTTATGGAAAGGTGAAATTAACAGTTACTTCAACTGTTGCAACTATTTCACAGACTTGATCTCCATATAGTTTTATTTGTACCACTTTAATCAGATTTAGATAATAAGAATGGCTGTATGAAAACTGACGTGAAAAAGTCATGGCAACCATTGAGTCTTAAATTATAATTAATTAATATTTTATAGCAAGATTATCACTGAACAGCATTTTTCAAACATATACGAAACATTGTTTTTAAATCCCTCGCCAAAGACTGAAGAACCCATTTCCCCCCTACAAAAAAACCTAGTTATTCCAATGGATGTTTTTCTAAATGTTTTAAGATTTTCATGCAAACTCGGGGTACCAACCCAAAGATCTTTCATTTTCCAGAAAATTAGGCTGGTCAGGTTTCGAGAAAAGCTGAGAGATCAAGACAGACAGCCTGAAATATATCGTAGAGTGAAGCGAATGACAGAAATCTGTAAAAAATACAACATGAAAGGCGAATTTTCTTCTTACAAAGAACTTATTGGTGGTGAATTTCGCTATGTCGCCCTCGGGATAAGTAACGAACCTTTGCTGAGACTTCGAAGCAACCGGGACTACAAGATGGCAACGTGTGTTAACCTCAAGTCTGGAAGCAGTAGTGCTTTAGGCTTTTTATTCATAGTTCCAAATAATCGACATAAATATCCTCATGGTGATGTACACTTAAGAAGCAGAACACCCTATATTTGCCTCAGTTTTGAAGAATATAAAAATGGCTCATTTCCTGGCTTCTTGCTTTACATGTTTGTACGTCATCCTTTTACACGACTAGTGTCTTTCTATCGCGATCGCATTCTTTATCATTACAAACAGAACAACACCGAAAGAACATCAAACCTGCCAGATGTTCACAGTGAACTGACGCTTCCTATGAAATATTTAGAAGGAAAACCAATTACCTTTCGAGATTTTATACAGGTTGTGCTTCGTGCTGATTTTCACAAACCAGAGACATTTGATTTCCATTGGTTACCAATATGGATGGCGTGTGCACCTTGCCATATTCAGTACAACTTTATAGGAAAAGTGGAAACTATGTCTGATGATTTCAAATACCTAAGTTCACTCACAGGTCTCACAAATGAACTGGCAGAACGACCACAAGGTATATGGTTTCATCGCAGTGAAAGAAGCAATGTCACTTCTTCAAGTCTAACTCGTCAGTTTTTCTCAAATATTCCAAAGCAAGAAATTAAACAATTGTATGAGAAATACAAACTAGATTTTGAATTGTTTGATTATTCACTGAACGATGTTCTATGAATAAAAGTACAAGTAATTTGTGTGTATTTATGCTTTAGTTTTTAATTATACGTGTGCCTTTAATCGATTAATCCAGCAAGTACTAGTTATTGGTTACCAATGTGGATGACGTGTGCACCTTGCCATATTCAGTACAACTTTATAGGAAAAGGGGAAACTATGGCTGACGATTTGATATACCTAAGTTCACTCACAGGGCTCACGGCAGAGCTGGCAGAACGACCTGAAGTTATGTGGTTACATCAAAGTGGAAGAAATAATGCCAGTTCTTCAGCACTAACACGTCAAGTTTTCTCAAGTATTCCAAAGCACGAGATTGACCAACTGTATGATAAATACAAATTAGATTTTGAACTGTTTGATTACTCTCTGAACGATGTGTTATGAGTAGAAGTATATGTAATTTGTGTGTATTTTTTCAACCATCCGTTTGCCTTTGATATTATAATGAAACAGTCTAACAAATGTTATTGCCATGATCTCTTACGCACCAATACAACACGTTTCATCTTATGTTTTCTGCCCTACAAATAACCAAACGGCTTTATAACCAATCCGTATCACTGCTGTAAATAGATAATCAATATCTTCAACTTCCTTATACTACACTGTTGAAGTCTAATAGATTCGAGGATAGAAGACTATTTTATTTTAAGTTTTAATTACCAAAATTTCATTGACAGAAATATCATAAAATGTTAAGTGGCTAAATTTATTACTTTATATTTAAAAGGTTTTAAATATTATATATAAGTATTTCTCCAATAGTTCCTAATGATGTCTCTACATATGAAGATTTAGAGATTTATTACCAAATTGTTGTTAGTAAATATAAATATAAATCATATATAAAAAGATAATATCTTTATAACAAATCTTCGTTTCTAATAAGATATTTTAAAGGCTAAACGTGAAAATAAATATAGATTATAAGAAACAAAAATATGGTGAAACAGAAAGAAACTTCAACATAAATAATCTGTAGAACTTTGCTAGAGGTTTGGTTCACTATATTTCTAAAACTATTAAGGTAGCATATCTGAAGAACATGTATTACGTTTCGTCACTGTATGATATGATGGATTATCATGTTAATAAAGTTTTTCTCTTTGTTTTGCAATTCATTCAAAGCAAATAGTGTAGCATTATCCAGAATTTAACAATATGACAAAGTATTACCACAAATTATCAGTGAACTGTTCAGGCCTATTAAGAACAGACCCGTTGATATAAGAGAGTATTTTTGTTGACAAACTGGTAATGACCTTTGCTACCATCAGAGAAGTTTCTAGAGAAACTCTGGTATTATTTCATAGTTCTGATTGAAGATAATTTGAATTTGGCATTTACTTGTAGAAACATATCTTATTTCCAAAATCACCATTTAAGTTCATTTTTATACATCGTTTTCTTCTTATTTTTATTATGTTGTTGTTTCAGCCCTGACATTAATAATTCTATATATATAATGCACAAAAAATATGTGTGTACGTCAGTTTGTCCGTTATCTAGCTACTCCTAGGTCACTGGGCCAATCTCAACCAAAGTTTGTAGGAGGATAATATGGAACAAAAGGCATGTTAATTGTATTCACAACTCTCTCCACCCCTATCATTCCGGTTATTGAGCATTTGTTATCTTTAACGTAAGTTAACGTTAACAATATTCATAGATGGCGCCACATCCTTACACCAAAAAATAAAACAACGATTAAATTTTCAATAAAACAACATATACACAGTGTGAGGAAGGGCACACAAACGTCAAATATATCTCAGAGAGTGCAATATCACTCTTTATAGAAGAATGCAATGAAAAAAATGGCCGCCACTATTGCAATAATATATAAACTCAGCTGAAGTTTCTAATCTAACAGCCACCAAAAATCTGATATGACCCGTGACCTTTCAACTTTGGCCCGTAAGACACTTCTGCGGACAATGACTGTAAATTAATTAATAACGTGAAAAACTGTGGAAGGACATTAAGAGCTGAGTGTTGAAAGCGGTTAACACAAAGCACCCCTACAGCCACTATTTTTCCACTACCGCCTCCTTCAAAATCACAGTGCTTCGAGTATATATATATATATATATATATATATATATTGAGTAGTTAAAGCTTATACAAAACTTTTGGTAAGGTAATAATGAATACAGTAATAATATGCAATGTTGTAAATAAATTGTATGAAAGTTAGGATTTTTGTGTTATTTCTCATAGCATCCACTCCCACATTTTTTATACCTTGTGTAATTGCTTGTGTCTCCTGTTCAGCTACTTGTGTCCCTTTATAAATATATGGTTGTGCGACTTTTATGGTCAAATTGCTAGGCTTGTGTATGTTAAAACTGTCATCAGTTTTAACGTGGAAGGGTGCTATTCAGAGGTATGGATCACAAGGTTTGAATTACATCATTTTTGTCGGCTTCTATCGTGTTTTTCACTGGTTCTTCACAATTTCAAGCATGAGGGTGACTGTAGTAGGTTGGTCAAAGCGTCTCTTTAATAAAAAGTATTTCCTATCAATTACGCAAGTAGTAGTAGTCTCATTCTGACATCAGTACAATCTGTACAGGACCTCGAAAGCATTTGTTTTAAGGCTCCGAGTAAATGCACTTTATCATTCACATAATAATTAAAAGTGCATTAAAGTGTAGTGATACAACTAAATTAAAGAACGGTTTTAAGCCTTACAAGTCTTCAGATTTACCACTGATTTAAATTCATTAAGGTTATCTGTAATGGACTTCTCTTTATTTTTAATAAGTAATCTAAAAGAACCAACCTAAAGACAAAAGACCTTATATCAATTCGAAGTGGACTATTTTCTCCATAACTTAGATTTTCAGCGGCGTTATACTCAAAAGTATACGTTGAAAATCACGACTATATAAACTTTCATTTCATTCTACGCAGCGTGCATCAAGAATTTAAAATAAAAAAAAAGAGAGGAGACGATTTTAATTATTTCTTTGTTTGAATCATCTTCTGATGGAAAACAATTTAATTTTAAAATGATCTTTACAACAACTTGTATTTATTTTAATAACGTAATTTGAATTTTATCAATATGCTACATAAATTTCATACAATTTTGATGAGTAACACCTTTAATTTAATTTGTTTTCTTTATATTCAAATTTCAAGTAACTTTTGCTTATAAATTAAATGTTGTTGTTCTTTTAATGTAAAGCTACACAGTGGAATATCCGTGCTCTGTCGGGCCCGGCATGGCCAGGTGGTTAGGGTGCTTGACTCGCAATCTGAGGGTCGCGGGTTCGAATCTCTGCTCCACAAAACATGATCGCCCTTTAAGCCGTGGAGACGTTATAATGTGACAGCCACTGCCACTATCCGTTGGTAAGAGAGTAGCCTAAAAGTTGGCGGTGGGTGGTGATGACTAGCTGTCTTCCCTCTAGTTTTTCACTGGTAAATTAGGAACGTTTAGCTTTGCACGAAATTCCATATAAACCAAACCGTGCTCTGTCCACCACGAAGAATCAAGTCCCGGATGTTAGTGCTGTAAGTCTGAAAATTTAATGCTAGCTAATAATAGTGCTAGAATAAATAAGAATAGTATTGTTACGTATCTGCTTGTTTCTTTGTTTCCGGTAGAATTTTTTTTCCCGAGGATCTTCAGCGATACAAGTCATTTCTTGTTTAAATCAGTTTATTCTTCCTTGATACAAGCTTTTAATACACAGAAGTTCCACAATCAGTACTTTTCTCATCACTTTAAACTTAACAACTTTTATAATACACGCTATAAATCACAGCGATTCACAATCTCGATAACTTCGCTCTCGACGAGTGCAAAACACACTCTTTACGGCTCACTAGCTCCAAACTAAGAATCATAAATTACACGGAACTCAAAGTAGCTACTGCTCTCTTTTCATTCATCTATCCTGGCTTTCTCTGCCAGGTTTATATACTAAAGAAGAGGGCATCTCGAACACACGAGGACTTCCCCGAACATTCAAGAAACTTATCACGCACGCCCACCAGCGACAGCAGCGTCACGTGACTTCCGCTGTCGTAACAGTATGCTATATTTGGGACTCGTTAGAAATTTAGAAAGATAATTCCCATTTGTTTCTTAGCTTTGGGTGTTTTTGCTGAAAAAATTATTCGAATAAATCATTTTAACTTGTGGTGAATTAGAAAAACTGGAATTCTTTGAGTAGCTTTATCAGTTAGTTGTTGATATAAATGTTGATTTTTCGGCTTATATCTGTTATTGTCACATAAAAATGAAACGTAAATAGGCAGATTTTTCTTTACACAGAATGTTAGGTTGATTAAAACAGAATATTAACTGCAGGTGAACAACCTAAATAAAGTCTGGATTTCTCTATAACCTTTCCTGTCAGTATATTACCTGTCACAGTACACGCCGACTGTCTTCAGAAATTGAGACCATCTTAAAGTTTAATGAGATAGTATAAATAAGACCTAATTTATGTTGTTTTATTAAAAAATATTTGTGTATCACCAATTATTATGCATTTTGATCGTTGTAAGAACGAATAAGAAGTCTTGTCGTTACGTGTATGCATAAAATATTCTGTATTTCTATTCGTTTTTATTTTATCAATCATTGCAATTTTGTTTCTTATTAGGATATATGGGATTTAGTAGGAACTGTATTATAAACAGAGCTGTGTGTTTATACAAAGACAATGCATGTCCCTTCAATAACATTTGTATAATTCGATTGTACTATGTTCCAAATGGAGGATTGGATATGTCAGAGATGGTGTCTTAATGTCCACAATAAAGACATAATCCCAACCATGTTATCATAATTCTACCTGAAAAATGTGGGATAGATTTATTAAACAAAATACTTACTCCAATACAGGTTTATAACACACTCGAAAAAGGTAATACAACCACAATTTAAGCGCATGCAGAAGAGGAATACATGCATATTCACCACTCAGTTAGTATTTTTACCAAGTTTGATAAATTAGTCCATTTAAAATAGAATACTT